TCGACAAGCTCACCGACAGGCGGAGGCTTCGCTGGCACGAGCTGGAGCGGGCGCAGCCTGGGCTCGCAATCCCGGGGGCGGTGCTCGACGGGCGCGAGGGGGAGCTCAGGCATGCCCCAGAGCGCGCGGTGCCTCCACCTCGCGCTGCACCGCGCGCTGCGGGAGCCCTGGCTGGCGCGCTGGCGGCTACGGCGGATCGTCGGCCACCTGGTCCACTACTTCTCGGTTCTCCGGCCCGGGCTCAGCGCGCTGGGCTCCTGCTACGCCTTCATCGGCGGCGGCGGCTTGTCGCCGGTGGTCAGGCTGCCTGGGGGCGTGCTGGGGGAGCTGGCGAACTCCGCGGGCCTCGTCTTCTTGGGGGAGGTCGACTTCTGCCGCGCGCCGTCGGACGTCGCGTTCACCGCCGACAGCCCGCTGCAAGGCTACGCGGCGCGCGAGGCGAGGCTGGGGTCCTGGGAGGCGCCGGCCACGACGCGGTGGCGGGGGCGGCAGCGCTTCGTCGCCGCGGAGGCGGAGGTCGCGCCCGACGACGAGCTCTACCAGGACCAGGCTGCCTGCTTCGCCGACATGTCGGAGCCGCTGCCGCTGGAGACCCCGCCGAAGCTCCGACGCGCTGTCGCGGGGCGGCGGCGCGCGCAGCTGGAGATCGGGGTGCCGCCCGAGCCGCTGGCGTACATCCTGCTGGACCCTCGCCGCTGGGCCGAGCGGCGGAGGGGAGCTTGGCGGCGCCCCGGGCGGATCCACGCGCTGGAGGCTCGCGCCGCCGTCGCGCCGCTGTGGAGGGCCGCCGCGGGCGTCGCCTTCCCTGGGGAGAACATCCTCAGTCTGTGCGACAACATGTCTTCGGTCCTCGCTTCCGAGAACGGCAGCGCCACCGACTTTGAGTTGCTGGCGCGGCGCAGGCGCGCTGCGGCGGTGTGCCGCGAGATTCGCCGGCGCCCTCTGGCGCCCTCGGCGCGTTCCTGGCGCCTACAACGTCGCGGATCACGGGGGCCGAGCTGCTGACCGAGGCGAGGTGCGTGCAGGGCGCCATCGAGGGCGAGGGGCCCTCACGGCGCAGACCCAACGCGGCCGCCGAGAGCTGGCGGCGAGGCCCGTCGCCCCGAGCGGGCCCCAGATCCACGGGGGCGCGGCCGACCTCGCGCGGCCAGCAAGCTTTACCAGCGCGCTTGCCCATGTATCTTCAGCCCACATCCATTCCCTTTCTCAGTGGCGAGAGAGATGAGTGCATGTCTGTTCAGAGTTTTGGGGGACATGGCGACGACGGGCTACGCGACGAGCATCGCAGAGCACACGATCACGGACGACCCAGAGGTTGCCTACGCGACGAGGTTCAGCGGGGCCCAGAACGAGGCGCACCTTCAGGAGATCCCAGAGGCCCTCTCGATGGAGTTTTACCACCACCTGCGTGCCCTCTACAGCGCCCCCATCGGAGCTCTTGGACAGGGTGACGGTGTGCTTCAGGGGCCCGCAGCAGGTCCACTACTGCATGGCAGTCTCGGGCAGCGTCGGGGGTCTTCGGGCGACTGTCTGGGGCCGGGCCCAAGAGCAAGGCCCCGTCCTCCTCGGCGGGCGTTATTGGAGCTCTTCGCGGGCGCAGCCAACCTCACGGGGGCCCATCATGAGCGTGGCTTTCGTGTTATGCCCCCCCATGGGCACCAAGTGCGGGCCCCGCTGTGACCTCGCGGACCCGATGGTGCAGCGTCTCGTACTCCTTTGGCTCAAGTCTGGCGAGCTCTGGTGGGCTCACCTGGGCCTTCCGTGCACGCGGCGGGTTCCCGTTGGAAGCGACCGTGAGCCCTCGCCGGCCGACGAGACCGTGGTCGCCTTCTCCGCGCGCGTCATTCGATTGTGTCGATCGCTTGGCGTCTTCGCGTCGCTCGAGAACCCTCGGGCCAGCCGAGTGCGGCGTTGGCCAGCGCTCGAGCGGGAGTTGCAGCGGCTGGCCTGGCCGAAGGTGCGCTTCGACTCCTGTCGGTTCGGCGCGCCGTTCAAGAAGCCCGGCGCGATCGCAGGCAGCCTCCCAGGCCTCCAGGCCTCGGAGGCCTCTCGCTGCGCCGCTGCTGCCGCGACCCGCGCCGAGTCGAGCTGCAGGGCAAGGTCAAGCGCCCGACGCGCGGCTGGACGTGGCGGACCACCCTAGCGGGCTCCCACTTGCCGCGCTGGCGCAGGCCGCGCCCTCGCCGGGCCCGACGCCCAGCGAGGCGCCATTGGCCGCGCGACCCGGGGTGGCCTCCAGGGCGGGGCTCGCGCGCTGGCAAGCGCGTCTGTGGCCGCGGGGCCCAGGGGCGTCTCGGCGCCGGTCTGCCCGCAGCGCTTTCGGCTCGCCGTGGTGGCCAGGATGGCCAACGGCGCTCGGCCCGCGCCCGAGGGGCCGACGAGGCGCCGCCCAACTCGCCCTGGGCGCCCAGGCGGGCTCGAGGCGAGGCTGGCTTGGCTGGAGGCTCCGCGGCGGCTGCTCGCGCCGGGGGGGGGCGGCTCGGCCCGCGGCGTCGCGCCTCCGCCGCGCTCTTCGAACTGGCAGCCGCGCGGTGGCGACGCTGGACGTGGGCCCGCTGCTCCGCGAGGGGGCTGCGCGGGCCGCGCTGCGGGCAGGGCTCGGGCGCCCGCGCCTCGCCCCCTGGCCGTCGCGGCCCGGCGGGGGCGAGCGGGTGTTGCGGCGCGCGGGGGCCGGGCCGCCAGCCGGCGCGAGGCGGCGCGCCGGGCGATCACCTGCGCCTGGCGAGCCTGCGGCCTGCGACCCTGGCTGGCTACCGCTCGGCAGTGGTTGAGCTGGCCCAGCGCGCTGAACGACGCGGCCATTCGTTCGACGCACCTGGGTCGTCCGACGACGCCCTCAACCTCTACTTCGAAGACTTGTTCTTTGCGGGCGAGCCGCAGTGCGTGGGCAGAACCGCCCCTCGCGTTCTCTGCGACGAGCGCGGCTGGGCGGCAGCTAGGCCTAACTTTCATAAGGCCAGGGGCGCCCTAGCGGGCTGGTCCTCAAAGCTCCCCCTAGCGCGCCGTGGCCCGCCTCCGATTGAAGCGCTGCTGCTCGCGCGCCTTGTTCTCGACGACGGCGCCAGCGGCGACTTGCCGGCGGCGCTGGGCGCCTCCATCCAGTTCGACATGAGAATGTTCGGCCCAGCGAGTTGCTAGCCAATGCGCCCGAGCACGCGCATGGCACTCGCGCTTCAGGCGCCCCAGCTGACGCGACTGTCGTAGTTGCACCATTAGGGGGAGGGATGCCTGCACATGACAGATTTTGATTGCACTGCGAAGGCGGGGACAGTTTTGCTTAATTATCAGGAAGCTCGTTCCCGAGGTCTTGTTGAGGTAGAGGAACCGCGCTCGCCGTCTTTCCCTGCCCCGCCTTTTTCGCCCGCTTTCTTTGCCTCGGTATGAGAAGATGTTTCAAGCTGCGGCGCTGTCTGCTGGCGCGGGTGATCTCTCGTCCGCGCCTCGCCAGTTGCGCGGCAGTGGGCCTTCGCGCGACGCTTTGAGCGGCGCGCGGCCCATCGAGGCCGCCCGGCAGAGGGGCCGCTGGCGCGCGCGAAGAGAGCGCCCGGATCTACAAGAGGCGCGGTTCGGCATTGCGACAGCACTCGCAGCTCACCTCAGAGCAGATCGAGCGCGCCCGTCTTTTCACAGAGCACCGAGCACGCGACATCCTTCGGCGCGTGCGCGCGCGACCTCGCTCGACGCCCGCTGCAGCGCGTTCCTTTCCCACCCGCCCTCCCTAGGGCATTTGTATATGGGAATGGGGCGCGAGTTCTGCGATGCGCGACTTCTCTGGAGGCATGAACTGCGCTGTCCGGTCAAGGGCCGAACCTCCGTTGAGAACCATTCGTGGATGCCGCGGTGCTTGCAGCTGAGGGTCGTTGCGAGGTTGCGAAAGATGTGCCTGAATCCAAAGTGCCGTCGCTCGTCTCCGCGACACCTTGGGAGGCCGCGCCTTTGAAATGGGAGCGAATTTTCTTTGACTCGTTTTCCTGCAACCGAATGGCTTCGAATGCGTCCCATCATTGCGTCGTCTTGTCACGATCCCATTCTCGCGGTAACACCCTGGTTTCAAGCTCCCACCCTCCTCCTCCGCACACCACGAGTTTTGTGGTGTGTGACTCCTTCGGAGGTTTTTAACGCGCTGTCCGGCCAAGGACCGAACTTTTGCTGAGAACCATCCGTGGATGCCACGGCGCTCGCAGCTCAGGGTCGTTGTGAGGTTGTGAAACATGTGCCCGAATCCAAAGTGTCTTCGCTCGTCTCCGCGACCCCTGGGGAGGCCACGCCTTTGAAGTAGGAAACACTGTTCGTCCACGTCCGTTCTCATCCAAAACGTCGTTCCTCTTCTGATGATCCCGTCGTATCGCAGACCTCCGACGGATTGTTTTAGAGTCCGTTGGCCCCAGAGGTCTCGCCCCCTTCCCCTGGGACCTTTTTTTACTTCCCGGTTATTGGTTCAGGGGCGTAGAAACGAACCCCGCTGGCCGAAACAAGGAAAAGGCGTTTGGGTTGTTCGGGACCGCTCTCGCGCATGATCTTCCCAGGTGGTTTTCCACGTGGAAACCCCCGTGCGGTTCGCTCGCGTGGGCGTGAAAAGAGGCAGTGTACCCCCGCCGCTTTATGACGCGCGCCAGTGGGTCGTGTCGACGCGGCGGCGACCCCGCCTCGGGCGTTCAAGGCTTTACGCCGGCGGTGGCCCAGAATCGGCCAACCTGGAACGAGCTGGCGATCGGAAAGCAGCCGGTCGTTCAAGGTTGAGCGTTCCACGCGGTCTTGGAAGCTAGCGCCAGGGCCACCGCGGTACGGAGCTGCCGTAGTTCCTGGTTGTCCAGGTCGGTTTCGCAACTGTGCCCATACATTCGGACGGCTTCGGTCATTTTCAAAGCGGTGTGTTAGGGGCAGGCCCGGCGTCGTCTCCTTCAAAATGAACACAGGCTTCCCCTTGTTGGCTGTCGTACGTATCGGATGAGCCACTGCAGTGCCATCGCCGGGGGGGAAGATGCCTCGCGCGTTTGAAGGCTGCCGACAACTTCTTCAGGGGCAGGGGCGACGCGTGCGAGGCGGCGTACCTTTGGGTCTCTGAGGATATGCTGGGGCGGGGCCCCGGCCATTGTGCCGCCGTCCGACGCTTTCAGTGCCAGTGCGAATTCCCTTGCAGTGTCTGTTGGGTTGCGTGACTTCTGCCAGGTGGCTGCGGTTTCCCTGTCGCCTTCCCCTGCCCGCTTCCAGGTGAGCGCTACAGAAACCGCCCAGGCCCCGCTGAGGGTGACATGGACAACGGGCGGCCGCTTTCGGCCCCGCCTCCGCGAGCGCTCCTCGACGCACGGCCGCTCCCAGCGCTTCCAGGCGCCGGACAGCACTCCGGGGTTTGCGCCTCACCGCCGCCTCCTCTTTCTCATTGGCCGTGGCCATGTGCTCTCTGTCGTGGCCTGGCGGACCCCGCCCGCGGGGCTCTCCGCTCGAACCTGTGCCCGTGGTGCCCACGTTCGACCCTCGCGCTGGGCTGGACGAGAGGGGAAAGAGGGGGTACGAAATCTGCTGCAGGCAGCTGGTTTCGGCTCCGTCGCCGAGCGCTTCCCTCGATGCACTGACGCCTCCAGCGCCGGGAGGCACCAGAAGGCGATAAGGTGATCTGATGTATTGTTACCACACTTTGCTACCCCAAATTTTCGTCCGACCCGGTGGGGGAGCGGCGAAGCGCTGGGCAGGTGTTCCAAACTCTTCTCGCGCCATTTTTGGGGTTCGGGCGCCTTGCGTGCATCGTGGGGAGTGTTCCGGAAACCTCCCTGGGAAAATTCAAACTACCTCGGGCCAGGGCCACTTCTGGCAACACCCGATGTTCATGCATGGGTGCTGCCGAGGCCCTCGGCCTCGAAGTGCAGGCGGCCCGCGGCGCACGGCGCGGATGCTCTCGCGAGGCCTGCGCAGGGAACCTGTGCAAAGGGGTGGCCAGCAAGATCTTGGCGACCCCGCAGGCCCTCCAGGCCCTCCGAGAGTAAGCGTGCGTGGGGTCGTTGTGTGGGCGAGACGTCAAAGCCCGGTGCCTTCACGATTCGGGAAGAGGAGGCGAACCATACCTCGGGAGGGAGACAGAGTCAACGACAGGCGCGTCTTCTATCAGCGCGTGTGTGTTTGTGTCTGTGTGTGTGTGGGTGTGAGTGTGTGTGTGTGTCTATGTGTGTGTGCGTGTGCGTGCGTGTGCGTGTGCGTGTGCGTGTGCGTGTGCGTGTGCGTGTGCGTGTGCGTGTGCCTGCGCCTGCGCCTGCGCCTGCGCCTGCGCCTGCGCCTGCGCGTGCGCGTGCGCGTGCGTGCGTGCGTGCGTGTATGTGCGTATGTGCGTATGTGCGTGTATGTGTGTGTGTGTGTGTGTGTGTCTGTGTGTGCGTGTGTGTGTGTGTGTGTGTGTGTCTGTGTGTGCGTGTGCGTGTGAGTGTGAGCGTGTGCGTGTGAGCGTGTGAGCGTGTGAGCGTGTGCATGTGCGTGTGCGTGTGCGTGTGCCTGTGTGTGTATGTGTGTGTATGTGTGTATGTGTGTGTGTGTTTGTGTGTGTGCGTGTGTGTGTGTGTGTGTGTGTGGTGTGTGTGTGTGTTACTCGTTTCCGTAGCCTGGCTCAAGGCGCTCTGTCTCGAGGTGCGCGGCCTGGAGGCCGGAGTCTCCCCCTTTGACTCGGCTGGCCTGAGGGGCGCTGGGAGGGGCCTCCTCTTCCCGGCGCCCCTCCCCCAGTGCCATGTCCCCATGTCTTGGCAGGCCGCGGACGGCGTTGCGCCGCGCTCAGCGCTGGGCGGCGGCCGCGCGGCTCGCCGCCGCCCCAGCAGCCGCCGGCGACAGTCACCCTGGCTTGGCTGCGGGTTTGCCCCGCCGGCCGCTGGCGGGCGCCGCTCACGTGGCGGCCGACTCTGCCCGCGCCGCGGCCGCTTGTCTGGCCGCTGCGCGCCCCCTCGCGGCTCGCGGCCCCTCGCCCCATGCGGCGGCCGCTCGGACGGCTGCCTCGGCCGGCGTGGGCCAGGCCGTTGGCGCTCCCGTGGCGGCCGCCGCCGCCGACTCGCCCGCCGCCGCGGCCGCTCGCGCGTCGCGCGGCGGCCGACGCCGCGGCCGCGGCGGCTGCCGGCTCGGCTACCAGCGCCGCTGGCGCGGTGGCTGCTGCACTCTGCGTGGCGGCTGCCGGCGCGCTGCTGTTGCGGTGGCCACCGCGGCCAGCGCCTGTGCCGCGGCCTTCACGGCCGCCGCCGCGGTGGATGACTTCGACTTCCGCGTGCTGGCGCCCAACGGCGCCGAGGACAAGCTGAAGGAGCTGGCGGCTGAAATCGCCAACAGTCGTCAGGCCATGATGGTACCGGCGGTGTATGGACGTGCCGGTAGCATCTCGCGCCATCGGTGCGTGCGTTGTTCTGTAACTACGGCCCGTGAGTGCCCAAACCTCCCGCTTGGGCCGGGGGCAACGTTCCGTGAGCGCCCGAGGGCGCTTGGTGCACAGCGTGTCACGGCAATGGGCTGGCGCTCCGGGGCGGCCAACCCCACGGCGGGAAAGCAATCGGGTTCCCCTCGGCCTGATTGCCTTTTCACGTCGCCCCACATGTACCTGCGTTCCAGGGCGGCGCGGAGCTGCACCCCCTGCTCGTGGGTTCGGTTTCGTCGTATTGGTCTTCCACACCACAACGTGTAAGCTTCTCTCGCGCGGGGCGGGCGGGCACGGCTCGCTGCCATGCGCGTGCTGGGGCGGTTCGGTTTCCTTTTTGGAGTCCACCCCTTCACGTCGGGCAGCGTGAGACTGGCTTCCGCCTGATCACCGGAGGTCGGGTGGCTTGGGGTACGCGTTTGGTCTGGGCTCGGCGTTGATCTTATGGAGTCTCCTGCTGTTGTTGCGACGGTGCACATCACCAAGTTGAGGTATCCCGACCTTTTCGTGTATCGGGCTGGTTGGTTGGGGATGGAGGTGGGGGCACGGGGGCGAAGGGAAAGATCCAAGGTCAAGCGGCGCGGGGGCCACTTGTCAGCCGGGTCGTCGTCGCCCTTCGGGTCACCCTGTTGCGCTGGGAGGTGGCCTTGAACTGTCTCCTCAGGGTGGGGGGACTTGTACCCCTGACGACGAGGGGACTTGCACCCCTTTCCTGGCCGACGGGTGCGCCTGCTGGGCTGCTGCGGCAAGAGCCGCGAAGGGTGTGGGCTTTAACGCTAGGGCGGCACACGGTTGTCGATGTGTCTGGCAGGATGGGGGCCTCGGGCTTGCGCGCGTGTCTCGTACGTGTTTCTGGTCTCTGAGTCTGCGCGTGCACGCGTATCAGAGAGTCCACTTACACATTTGGTATCAGAGTCTGCGTCTTGCGCGTGCGTCGCATGAGTGCGTGTGTATGGGCACATATGCTTTTATGCCCTTAGTGCACCAATATTCGAATTCCCGGGCGCGCTTCTATCACCGGCATGTTCTTCCAGGACGGGTGCCACAAGGTCGGAGATCCCAATTATGAGCCATCATTCCCAGTATGGGTTTCTGGTCATGAATGGGGCTATTTGCACCCCATCCCTCCTCGTCGCCCTCTCTCCCCCTTCTCACCTCTCCTGCTCTGGGGCTCTTGGGGGGTCCGCCGCGGAGGGGCAGGGGGTCGGGCTCCCCCTCGCACCTCTCCCGGTGCGGGGCCCCCGCCCCTGCTGTTTCGCGGCGCACTTCACCCCGTCGGGGGGACGCCGACCCCCCGAGGGGTGAAGTACGGGGCCCCGGGGCCCCGGCCCCGGCGGACCGGGCCCCGGTTCCGCGGGGGAGACGGGGGGCGGCCGACGAGGCCCACACCCCTCCCGCAGCGGCAGCGGCAGTGGCATGATGGTACCGGCACGGCGGGACTGCGAATGTTGGCAACAGACGGGTCAAGTATCTTTGCGCGCGCGCGTGCGTTTGTGCGTTGCCCGCGTCTTCCGCGGCGTGGCGCGCGTGCTGGGTTGGTGCGGGCAGGATTTCGGGTCTGCGGGGAGAAATGCCACGTCCTGCATTTGGTATGGCGTCGGGGGGGTTTGCTCGTAGGTCTCGCCGGCCCACGCCCGGCTCCCGGGGCCGCGCGCCGGTGCGTCCATGGACCGCCGAGCCGGACGGGGGCACTGTTGCGCGGGGGGTGCGCGCTTGATTTCTTGCCACATCCCCAGACATCCTTGTGCTCCTGTTTTTTGGAGCAATGCTTCAGCCCCAGTCATAAATCTCTGCTCCTTTTTTTGTTTGGAATTTTGATATACTTGCGATATATACATACATATATCGAAGGCTTGACGGCCAGTGCCGCCGACCCTGTTCGCAATGCGCAGCAAGAGATTACGAGGTTGCTCAAGGTCGGCTTGGCTGGAGCCCAGGGGAAGAGGAGTCCCAGGGGGGGGCGTCGTATCTGACCCGGGGGGGGGGTCGCACCCCCCCCCCCTCCCGGGGGGGGGGAGGGATCAAAGGGAAGGGGCTTCCCTTCGACTCAATTACGAGGTTGCTCAAGGTCGGCTTGGCTGGAGCCCAGGGGAAGAGGAGTCCCAGGGGGGGGCGTCGTATCTGACCCGGGGGGGGGGGTCGACACCCCCCCCCCCTCCCGGCGGGGGAGGGATCAAAGGGAAGGGGCTTCCCTTCGACTCAATTACGAGGTTGCTCAAGGTCGGCTTGGCTGGAGCCCAGGGGAAGAGGAGTCCCAGGGGGGGGCGTCGTATCTGACCCGGGGGGGGGGTCGACCCCCCCCCCCCCCTCCCGGCGGGGGAGGGATCAAAGGGAAGGGGCTTCCCTTCGACTCAATTACGAGGTTGCTCAAGGTCGGCTTGGCTGGAGCCCAGGGGAAGAGGAGTCCCAGGGGGGGGCGTCGTATCTGACCCGGGGGGGGGGTCGACACCCCCCCCCCCCTCCCGGCGGGGGAGGGATCAAAGGGAAGGGGCTTCCCTTCGACTCAATTACGAGGTTGCTCAAGGTCGGCTTGGCTGGAGCCCAGGGGAAGAGGAGTCCCAGGGGGGGGCGTCGTATCTGACCCGGGGGGGGGGTCGACACCCCCCCCCCCCCTCCCGGCGGGGGAGGGATCAAAGGGAAGGGGCTTCCCTTCGACTCAATTACGAGGTTGCTCAAGGTCGGCTTGGCTGGAGCCCAGGGGAAGAGGAGTCCCAGGGGGGGCGTCGTATCTGACCCGGGGGGGGGGTCGACACCCCCCCCCCCCCTCCCGGCGGGGGAGGGATCAAAGGGAAGGGGCTTCCCTTCGACTCAATTACGAGGTTGCTCAAGGTCGGCTTGGCTGGAGCCCAGGGGAAGAGGAGTCCCAGGGGGGGCGTCGTATCTGACCCGGGGGGGGGGGTCGACCCCCCCCCCCCCCCCTCCCGGCGGGGGAGGGATCAAAGGGAAGGGGCTTCCCTTCGACTCAATTACGAGGTTGCTCAAGGTCGGCTTGGCTGGAGCCCAGGGGAAGAGGAGTCCCAGGGGGGGGCGTCGTATCTGACCCGGGGGGGGGGTCGACACCCCCCCCCCCTCCCGGCGGGGGAGGGATCAAAGGGAAGGGGCTTCCCTTCGACTCAATTACGAGGTTGCTCAAGGTCGGCTTGGCTGGAGCCCAGGGGTTGCTCAAGGTCGGCTTGGCTGGAGCCCAGGGGAAGAGGAGTCCCAGGGGGGGGCGTCGTATCTGACCCGGGGGGGGGGTCGCTACCCCCCCCCCCTCCCGGCGGGGGAGGGATCAAAGGGAAGGGGCTTCCCTTCGACTCAATTACGAGGTTGCTCAAGGTCGGCTTGGCTGGAGCCCAGGGGAAGAGGTCTCCCAGGGAAAAGGAAGGACAGAGACGACGAGTACAAAGAATGACGGAGATGACGGCTCGATCGGAAAAGCCCCTCGCACACGCCGACAGGGTCGGCGGATATATTTGTGACGTAGGCGTATACAAGCACCTGTGCATATACACATGCATATATATACATACATATACAGATGCATATACATATACATATACACATACACATACATATACATACACATATACATAAACATATACATATACATATACATGTGCATACATATATCATACACATATATGCGATATTCGGGCGCAGGACCGAGAGCGCGCCGATTTCGCGCGAGGCCACGGCACTGTCGATCCAGCTTGCACGCCCTCTTTCTCGCTCGTCCTCCTCCTCCTCCTCCTCCGCCCCCTCCTCCTCCTCCTCCGCCTCCTCCTCCCTCGCGAAAGCTCGAGGAAGAGGAAGGGCGTTTTTTTGTTCGATATCACTTGTATCGGCCCGTCGATCTCGTTTTAAATTGTGGCGGCGTGGGTTTGCATTCCCCCCGCTTCAGCCTCCGCTCGAATTTCGATCTGGGTCGTGATCAACCCCGCGCGCGCTCGTTTTTTTTTTGATTTCTCGATCCTCCTCCTCCTCCTCCTTTTCCTCCTTTTCCTTCTCCTTCTTTTCCTCCTCCTCCTCCTCGTTTGTTCTCTTCTTCCTCCTCCTCCTCGTCCTCCTCCTCCGCCTCGTCCTCCTCGTTATTATTTCTCTTCCTCCCGTGGCTGTGCGGCGACGCGCGGTGTGCTTTGTTCGAGCTGTCGCGCGCGTGGCGCGGCGACCACGACCGCTTCCGCGTCGGTGGTAACACCCACACCGACGCCCCTGCGGTCCACGGCTGCGCTTTCACGTGCACGTATCTTGCACAGTGGTTCAGCCCATCATATACAGGACAAGTCCGACCTCCGACCTCACGAGGCTAATCGAGCACGGCAAGGGCGCGATCACATCCTCGAGGCTGCCAACGGCTATCGCGTCGTCAACACCACGCCCAAAAGGTCGAGGTGGTTGGGGGTGTCAGACGCGCAGATGGGTGAAAACGTGAGTTTTTGCAGCGCCCACAAAGTCGAGGTGGTTGAGAACCCCTCAGCGACCACTTCGAGATAGCCCAGACCCTCCCAATAGATTCGAAGACAGCTTCCAGCCCAGGACCCCAGAGCCTGCAAAAACCCATAGCAAAACCCAGGCGTGACAGGGGGGACCTGCAGACAATAACCCCACAGATCGCACGTCTCTTCTGCCTGGCCTCCCCATCGGCGGCTCTACAGTGGAGTTCCTTCGATCGTGGAGACGAGCGTCCACCCGTTCGCCTACGACGCCTACGACCACGTGGTGCACTTTCCTTGTGACGCCCACCTGGACCGACAGGAGCGAGCGTCGCCCTGGCCGCTGGCTTCGCTCTGCCAGCCGTGGATTTTTCCACGGGGTCGCACTCGTTTTTGCTACAGCGCAGGGAGCAGCGCGTGCGAGAACGGCGAACACAAGCCGCTGGTTGTGAGTTGCCGAGCGAAATGCGGGAGGCGAAGTTCGAGCCCGACGTCATCCACGCTGCACTGGGGTCAGCTCGTGCACGGACAGCGAGCATTTGCAGCGGGTTCTGGCGATGCTTGGCCGCGGCGGCGGAGGCGGAGCAGCAGAAGCAGTAATTGCGTCCGAGCTGCGGGCCAAGCTTCCCGGGGTGCAGAGCTGCGGGAGGCGGCAGGAAACGCTGTGCCCGGGAGGCACGCGGCGAGGCGCCCCAGGTTTCCCCAGCTTCCCCGTCTCCTTTTGTCTCCTTCCCCGTCGTCCCCCCCCTACCCGCCCCCGCTCTGCCAGTGCCTTTCCTCTGCCCTTCGGTCCCCTGGCCCCCCATACTTTTTCTCCGCCCCCTCCTGCTCGCATGATCTTTTTCTCTGCCTACTGTCAGGAACAAGGGGCCAGGGCAGCATGCAGATCGGCTCTTTGAGTTCTGACCCCCCTGGCCTGCCCTTCTCCTCATCCCCCCCCCGTACTCCTCCGACGAGCGGCGGCGGCGGCCAGCGGCTATGCGGCGACGTGCAGCAAACAAATACCTTTTGGCGGCCAGTGGGTGCTCCGGCCGACCCCGCCTTGTTGCGGACTGCTGGGCATGGCTGGGTCAGCTGGCAGCGTCACGGGAGCAGGGCGTACTAAATCATTACATTCTGCGCTGAGCAAGCCTGCCAGACAGTGCCCGCAGAAACCCAGCCGTGGCCGAGCACGAAGAACAAGTAGTGAGGACCGAAGACTGAGGATAGAGGTGCGGAAGATCACGAACTTTGGCGCTTTGCGGTGGCTTCCGGCGCCTCCAGGGGCCCTTGGGGACCTTTTGGGGACCTCTACGGATCAACACACTCCCACCTTCCCCCGCCAGTCGCGCAGGAATGTTCTCAGTGCGCCACGTGCACGGCGGCCATGGCGGGGTGCCGCAGCGAGGACTTTGAGCACCTCGCTTCCAGCGGGGGCTTTGACGCATCTGAGATCCAGCCGAGCCTCCTGCCAAGCACGAGCGAGTCGCAGCGGCCTCAGCGGGTACCGGCATCGAGGCGTGAGATGGATCGTGTTCTCATTTTATTGCCTTTTGTTTGTGGCGGCCCCAAAATGGTGCCTGAACGCCGATGAGCGTCGATATGTGGCAAGGAGGATCGGTGCACTGTGCGCTCGGCGACCTCCCCTGTCGTTGTGGGTGGTGAATGAGGAGCCCGATGATCAAGGAATTCGGGTTAGGGCCTGGGGGCAGGGAGGAACTGCACGGCTGGGGACCCCTCATTACCGAATTCGGTGCATCACAGTCGCTACCTGCTCGGAAGAAAACCACGCCTGTGTGGTGAACCATGGAGCGAAACTGCGGCCATGCTGGCGGACTGCGTGTTTCACCAGCCGTCGGGGGAAGCAGTGGGGGGGGAATTCAGGGGAGGGCCTTTTTGGGGCTGTCTTGAACGGGCTGGGAAGAGAGGGGCGGAGGAGGAGGAGGAGGAGGAGGAGGAGGAGAAGGAGGAGGCAGAGGAAGAGGAGGAGGTCGAGGAGGAGGAGAGGCAGACGGGGCGAGGAGGAGGACCAGGAAGAAGGGGGAGCTGGTGGGAGGAGACGAAAGGCGTTCCCCGAGGCCCTTGGCGACCTCTAGGCCGTACGACTGTCTCTCGGGCTTCTTCAACTGGAAAAGAGGACTTGCGGACCGCCGGGTCCGCTTGCGCTCTTCATCTCTCGTCCCTCCTCTTTCTTCGCCCTCCTCCCTCCTCGCCTTCCTGCCTGCTACAGCTCCCACGTATTTGTCTTCTTGTTGTTATTCGTGTTTTTCTTCCTCGTCCTGCTCCCTACCCGCTTCCCTCCTCCTCCTCCCCGTATTAGTCCCTGTCATCCATCCTCACTCGCCTTGTCTATACCACGTGTATCACTATCATGTTCATATTTGATTCCTAGTATTGTAGTCTCGTGCCTACTCTTGTTTCCAACCATGCTCTCACTCTTTTTCTCCTGCGTTGTCTGTTCCGCTTTCTCGCGAGAGTCACATGAGTCATGCACCACTGTTGAAAATATGGGTGCTCGGATGGGTGAAAACATCGGTGCGCGAATGAAGCGCACCGTGTTAGTTTACAATGTAACGTTTGCGTTTGCGACCTCGCATGTGCCCGCGCTGCCAAACTACTCCTCCGGTCTTCGCAGCTTCCTTCGCCTGCCCACTGTCAACCTTCTCCCTCCCAGGGGGAGGCGGGCGGGAAGGCAGCAGCCACAGGAGTCCTGCGTCAGCTCCCGTCTCGCCCGTTCTGGGCTCCTCGCGGCTCCCGCAGCCAGGCAGGCCGTGGCGCGCTTCTTGCGGCGCTGCCCCGTCCCGCGCCCCTCCTGCTCGGCGCGGTCAGCGGCAAGGGCACCGCCTGCAGGGCATCTGCTCTCCGCGCTTGGCTTGCCGCGAGCAGGCCTCGGGCGCCTCGTGCGCCGCGAGGGCGGCCCCGAGCCACGGAGCGATTTAGCCGTGTGGTTCTCCTTTGGTTTCCTGCACCTGTCCACGCAGCCGCGCTCATCGCTCACGGAGGTTGGTTGGGTTGGCGGCGGGAGTCTGTCCGATTTGTCCTTCGGCGAAAGATGCCAGGAGTTATGGGCCATTCGTTCATGTCCTCGCCTCTGCAGTGCAGGTTAGCACAACGCGTTCAAGCGTAGAGGCTACGCGCATGGTTGGTGGAGCCCTGCGGTGCCGTGAACACTTGCCTGAAATGTCCTCGCAGCCATGCACATCGTACCCCCCGCCTTCCCTCACAGGATACGGCAGGTTCGTGCCGTGTCGACGCGGCGACGACGCCAGCGCGGGCGTTCAGGATCGAACATCGCTTGCGGACCAGAACTGGCAAACATGAAACAATTTGGCGATCGAAAGTCGCTGATCGTTCGATCCACACGGTGTCGGGATTCACCGCCGGGGTCGTCACGACACGAGGTTGCCGTAGATGCCAGGACGGGTTGTGAAACAAACAGCTTTCAAAGCTTTCAAGTGCAACCGCTGTCTCGCTTGTGCGGTGCCTGCCCGGCCTCCTGCCCATGTCTTTTAAGCACGCCTTTGGTGTGTGGCGGCATTCGCGTTTTGGCGCCAGTTGTGGAAGCATGTTGTCCGCCCCGAGTTTCTCCCTCCCCAAAACTGGCAGGATGGGCCGACGACAAGAAGAGCTGGTGCTGCGTGAACGAGAACCGCGGGTGCCGAGAGGGGCAATGCGCGCTTCCTGCCCCCTCTTTCGTCACGATCGAGATTGGTACGGAAAGAACGGGGACGAAACCTACAGCAGTTCCTGTCCGTTCTGATCAGGACTCTCTGTCGGTGTCGTCGCGGATGTGGACCAGTTGAGGCAAGCGGTCCCCGCGCAACAGCGGCCGCTGCGGGTTTCGGACAACATGTGTTTGGGGCCTCGTACTCTTTTTCCGTACCCACTTCGGTTGTGCCAGCTTTTGGGAGGGAGACGGGAGATCGAAAGGCCCAAGCCTCTAGAGTCGGGGCCTGCTGTCCGAGCGGCAATGTCGATGAACTGTTTCCATAATCTAAATGGGTTATTGCTCTGCTATGAATTGGATGGGAGTTTGAGGTTTTCACCTGGTTGGCGTCCGTAGCCGCATTGTAGGTGCTTCGGATTGGCTGGGCGTTCTGGGTCCTCGTCTGGTGGCACCCGTGTGTGCCTTGTGGGCACCTCGTGCTGGGAAGGAGTGCCAGGTCTTCGCCTCTGTGCGCCCGTGCGCGCCTCGTGGGCGTCTCGCGCTGGCTGTGAGTTCCAGGTTTTCGGCTGGTGGGCGCCCTTTGGCGCCACACAGCTTATCAGACATATATTGCACCACTGGGCCACATAACTCGCACCACACAGCTTACGCGGCATAGCTGGGGCCACATAGTTTCAACCACTTAGCTTGCACCACAGATTGCACCACATAACTGGCACCACAGCATTGCTTGCACCACATAGGGTGCACATCCAAGGTGCAAATAGTTCATTGTTTGGTGCCCACGCTGGCTCAATTCGTTTGAGACAGCGCCTTCGGTCAGCCCGTTGCGACGGCGACGAAGGCCACGACGGCGACTGCGACGACCGCGTCGCAGTCGCCGTCCCGCCCCCCGCCGAAAGGTGCCCCGGTGAGCCGGACGAGCCCGCCCCACGGCAGGCGCGGTGCCCGTGCCAGAGTCGCGCGGCCTCGCGGTGTCGTCGTCGCCGTCGCCGCCGCCGTCGTCGTCTCTTTTGTAGCAGTTTGCTCACAGGGATGTGCCTCCCTGTGATGTCAGAGCGGTTTAATGATCGGGTGTTGCTAGGAGTGGTCCTGGCCAACAAGGGTGACTAGCTTTTCGCCTTATCTTCGAGCTCCCTGGGGCGCTGGGGCCCTCTGGGTCTCCCCGGGGATGCTCTGGAGGCCGTGGGGCCTCCTTGGACATCCTTGGGGTACCTCAGGCCAGGACGCTTGTGGCAACACCCGAGAAATGAGCCCCGTCGACTGATCAAAGGGTGAGTGGCGCTGGAGAGGTGACTCCAGGCCTTAATCCGTCATAGTAGCAGTAAGAGTATTAGTAGTAGTGGTATTCGTAGTAATCGTAATGGTATTATTATTATTATTATTATTATTAGTAGTATTATTAGTATTATTATTAGTATTATTAGTATTATTATTATGATTATTATTATTATTAGCATTATTATTATTATGATGCTTATGATGATTATTCGCATTCGTATTATTATTAACATTATTATTTATTATTATTATGATTATCAGTATCATTATTATTATGGGTATAATTATTATTAGTATTATTATTATTATGATGATTACGATTATGATTATGATTATTATCATTATTTTATTATTATGGTTATTATTATTCCCCACACTTTTTCGTGGGGTTCTGGTTTTCTTCACTGCCGCGCCGCACCCGCGACACTCACACCTCACTTGTCTCTCCTTCTCACACAGCGCAGCACAGCACAACACAGCAGCACAGCACAGCACAGCACAGCACAGCACAGCACAGCACAGCACAGCACAGCACAGCACAGCACAGCACAGCACAGCACATGCACAGCAGCGTAGGGGGTGCGTAGGGGCTGGTCTCTCACGGCGGCCGCTATCCGTGACGGTCGTCCAGGGCACAGCAGGCATGGCATATTCTCGACACCATAGGGGGTGCGCAGGGGGTGGTCTCTTACCGCGGCCGCTATCCGCGACGGTCGTCCAGGGCACAGCAGGCATGGCAGATTCTCGACACCACAGGGGGTGCGCAGGGGGTGGTCTCTCACCGCGGCCGCTATCCGTGACGGTCGTCCAGGGCACAGCAGGCATGGCATATTCTCGACACCATAGGGGGTGCGCAGGGGGTGGTCTCTCACCGCGGCCGCTATCCGTGACGGTCGTCCAGGGCACAGCAGGCATGGCATATTCTCGACACCATAGGGGGTGCGCAGGGGGTGGTCTCTCACCGCGGCCGCTATCCGTGACGGTCGTCCAGGCACAGCACAGGCAGGCATGGCAGATTCTCGACACCATGGGGGGTGCGCAAGGGGTGGTCTCTTGCCGCGGCCGCTATCCGTGACGATCGTCCAGGGCACAGCAGGCATGGCATATTCTCGACACCATAGGGGGTGCGCAGGGGGTGGTCTCTCACCGCGGCAGCTATCCGTGACGGTCGTCCAGGGCACAGCAGGCATGGCATATTCTCGACACCATAAGGGCGTGCGCAGGGGGTGGTCTTTCACCGCGGCCGCTACTCGTGACGGTCGCCCAGGGCACAGCAGGCATGGCATATTCTCGACACCATAAGGGGGTGCGCAAGGGGCGGTCTCTCACCGCAGCCGCTACCCTTGACGGTCGTCCAGGGCACAGCAGGCATGGCATATTCTCGACACCATAGGGGGTGCGCAGGGGGTGGTCTCTCACCACGGCCGCTATCCATGACGGTCGCCCTGGCGCAGCAGGCATGGCATATTCTCGACATCATAAGGGGGTGCGCAGGGGGTGGTCTCTCACCGCGGCCGCTATCCGTGACAGTCGTCCAGGGCACAGCGGTATCGGCGGGGCAACGACCACCAGCATCATTCTCACATGCTTCACTTCAGCTCTCATCACTCCAGCCATAATATAAGTATGGGGTTCCTCGGTAGCGTAATTATCATGAGTAGTAGTAGTAGTAGTAGTAGTAGTAGTAGTAGTCGTCGTCGTCGTCGTCGTCGTCGTCGTCGTCGTCGTCGTCGTCGTTGCCGTAGTAGTAGTCGTAGTAGTAGTAGTAGTAGTAGTAGTAGTAGTAGTAGTAGTAGTAGTAGTAGTAGTAGTACTAGTACTAGTACTAGTACTAGTAGTAGTAGTAGTAGTAGTAGTAGTTGTAGTAGTAGTAGTAGTAGTAGTAGTAGTCGTCGTCGTCGTAGCAGTAGTAGTACTGAGAGTAGTAGTACTAGTAGTAGTCGTCGTAGTAGTAGTAGTAGACGTCGTAGTAGGACAAATGCTAGTCGTAGTGCTGGTCGTAGTAGTAGTAGTAGTAGTAGTAGTAGTAGTAGTAGTAGTAGTAGTAGTAGTAGTAGTAGTAGTAGCAGTCGCAGTAGTAGTCGTAGTAGTAGTAGTAGTAGTAGTAGTAGTAGTAGTAGTAGTAGTAGTAAAAATAGGAGTATGAGTAAAACGACTGGTAATAGTAATAACAGTAGTTGTATTCTAGTAGTAGTGGTAGTAGTAGTAGCAGTTGTAGCACTAGTAGTAGTAGTAGTAGTAGTAGTAGTAGTAGTAGTATAGTAGTAGTAGTAGTAGTAGTAGTAGTAGTAGTAGTAGTAGTCGCGTGGTAGTATTGGCCGCAGTAGCAGCAGTGGTAGTGGTAGTATTGGCCGCAGTAGCAGCAGTAGTAGTAGTAGTAGTAGTAGTAGTAGTAGTAGTAGTTGTAGTAGTAGTAGTAGTAGTTGTGGTGGTGGTGGTGGTAGTAGTAGTAGTAGTGGTAGCAGTAGCAATAGTGGCGGTAGTCGTACTAGTCCAGTAGCACTCTAGTATTAGTAGGAATAGTAGTTGTAGTCGTAGTAGTAATAATCGTAGTTGTAGTAGTGTGTGTAGAAATAATACAAGGAATAGTAGTAGTAGTAGTAGTAGTAGTAGTAGTATTCGTCGTAGTAGTAGTAATAGGACTAGTAGTACTACTAGACGGAGTCGTAGTATGAGTCGTCGTACTAGTAGTAGTAGTAGTAGTAGTAGTAGTAGTAGTAGTAGTAGTAGTAGTGCTAATAATATTTGTAGTAGTAGCAGTAGTAGTAGTATTAGTAGTAGTAGTAGTAGTGGTAGTCGTAGTAAGAGTAGTCGTAGTAGTAGTAGTAGTAGTTGTTGTTGTTGTTGTTAGTAGTAGTAGTAGTAGTAGTAGTAGTAGTAGTAGTAGTAGTAATCGTCGCAATCGTAGTAGTAGTAGTAGTAGTAGTAGTAGTAGTAGTAGTCGTAGTCGTAGTCGTAGTCGTAGTCGTAGTCGTAGTCGGAGTGGGAGTGGGAGTCAAGCTATCCAGCTCGAGCGAGTCAAGCATGGCATGCCCAGTCCCACCCGCCCTCCCACAACATAAGAAGCAAAGCTGGCACAACTGGGGGCCGAACTCACACCGGCCAGCCAGTTTGGTACAGCTGATGCGGCCGCGATGGCGGTTGCCGACGGGAACTGGCGAGCGCGTGTTGAATGCCGCGCACGCATTGCCAGACGAGTCGAGAATGGCCCGGTACACCGCAGGAAGCCAGAGGTGGCCGTGTCGAGAACGGCCCGGTAAGCCGGGTCCCATTCCTGCCATGCATTTTGCGACGTGGACGACAGGACGTCCATGCGACGGTGCCAATGACGGCGACGACTCTAGAAGGATTTGAGCATGCGCTCGCGGCGACGCGCGCGCATGTCGCCCGCGTGGCGTTTTTTGCACAGGATTCGCGGCCTGGGTGCATGACAGAGCATCGCGAGTGCACCGCGCGATGACGTGAAATCGCTGGATTTGACAGAATTCTTAAGATTCCTATGGTTTTCCTATGATTTCAGCAAGAGAGCCCGGGCAGGAAATGTGTATAATTTTTGTGAAAAAAGCATTGGGTTTTTGATGTTTTTATGTTGAAATGCTTGCAAACACACGGTGTTCGGTAGGATTATGACATGAACGCGCGCGTGTGCTCTTTGTGGTATTTTTTGCAATGGATTATCGCCGTGGACGACAGG